ACCTTGTTGAGAGTTACTCTCTCTCTCTCTACCCCTCCTCGCTCTGCCCCTCTCTGGTCAAATTAAAATAAATAAAATCATTCTTTTTTTTCGGAGAGGTTTTTGCTATAGGGCGTGTGCTCACCGACAGAGAGAAGAGAGACAGAGAGACAGAAAATAAGAGATCATCCCTCAGGGGAGATGGCCATGCCGCAATCCCTTCTCCTCCGTTCTCCTCTTGGGATCTTGGGCACGCACGCACACGCGCCCGGCATGAGTTTAAGCCACCGGATCTGGGACTCAAACTGCAGTCGACTACGTGGGACTCCGACAACATAGCCATTACGCCATCTGCTTGTCCTGAATAAGATAATTCTTAAAAAAAAAAAAAAAACTCATGCCAGGCGTGTATGCACGCATGCCCAAGATGCTGAGAAGAGAATGGAGAGGGGATTACAATGTGGCCATCCCCCCAGAGAGGTGATTTCTCACTTTCTGTCTCTCTGCTTCTCTGTTTCTCTAGCAACCACACGTGCCCTATAGCAAATATCTCTTAAATAATAATAATAGTAACTTTTTAAAAAATGAACAAAAGCTTTAAATAGACATTTCTTCAAAGATATAGAGATGGCTAATAAGTACATGAGAATATGCTCAGCATCGTCAGTCATTTGAACAGTGCAGACCCAAAGCACAATGAGGTACCGCTCACAGACACTAGGGTGCTATAGAAAACCAGACGGTAACCTGCACCGACGAAGGTGTGCACAAACGGGGACCCTCGTGCACTGCTGCTGAAACGCGAAACGGTGCGGTTGCTTTGGAAACAGCTTGGCACCCTCTGGGAATTTGATTTTTTAAGTTAAACATGAAGTTACCATACAGTCAGGCCATTGCAGTCCTAACTATACACTCAGAACAATTGAAAACTGGAATACAAATGTTCACGGCAAAAATATAATACATGAGAGGGGGCTGGCGGGTGGCATGGTGGTTAAGGGCGCGGGACCCCCACGTGACCCACCCAGACCTGGTAGTTTGCTTTCTCTCTCTCTTTCTCGCTCCCTCTCCCTCTCGCTCCCTCTCTTCCTGGCTCCCTCTCTCCCTCTCTCCCTCTCTGGTCAAATTTAAATAAATAAATAAATAAAGTTAAATAAAATAAGGAAAAAATTATAATAATACATGATAGATACATGCTAAAAATCGGTGACTTGTACACTTTAAAGGGCGAGTGTTTGGTTCGTGAATTAATATCTCTATAAAATGAAACAAATTTTAGGTTTGAAAGGAAAAGTCCTGCAGTAGATAGAGCAGGCGAATACTGAGCGAAAGAAGTCAGGGTTGCTGTGTTAATGTCGAACTAAGGCCAGCGCAAGGCAGAAGCAGGAGGAGCGCTCACACACGCCACTGCGCTTCGGTCGGGTACTCCGCTGGCCTGAAGCGCATGGCAATGCGACGTGCGTGTGCACTGGACACGGCCGGCAAAGTGCGGAGCTGAGAGGACCGCAAGGAGAAACCGACAAAGGGCAGTCGTGGGGTGTGAAGGAGATCTGGAGAAATGGGTGTGCAGTTTCTCTGTTTCTCAAAAAGGACCAGATAGAGTAGAAAAGATTGAAAAACTCTCTTATAGCCCAAATCCAATCCTGTCTCTGTCCTGCTTGTGTCGGCCACGCGGCTGCTGTGGAGTGGGGGCTGGAGCCCATGCTCACCCTCCGCACCCTCCGCCTCCCCTCCCCCTGCCTCTGGGACAGTGAGGTGGCTGGCTGGGGCCTGAGGACTGCGCAGGGAGCTGGGAGGACGAGGGCGCCAAAGAGGACGGACGCTGGGCCAGGGCAGCCTACCTGGACTGGAATCTGCGCCGCGGTGGCTGCGTGATCTGGACTGTCCTCTGTGCCTACTAAATGGGAACCCCTGAGCTCTTTCCACAGTGCTGGGGTGGGGTGTGAGGCAGGGCTGGCGGCTCAGCCATGTCTGAGGCCTTGCGGGGCTGGGATGTGTTCCCCCGGAGTCGAGGGTGCTGTTGGGACCCAGGAGAGGGCCAGGGCTGCCCAGGAGTCTGGGGATCAAGAGGCCCTTGGCCAAGCAGCAGCCGAGTGAACGCCCCAGCCCAGCTTCATGCAGGCCCCCCATGTGCACCCCTGACTCCATCCAGGTGGGCAGGTAGGAAGAGTGTTCGAGAGCCCAGCTGGGCTCTTGTTTGTGTCGGCTTTTTAGCAACAGCACGTGAGCACATGAGAGAGAGGAGACGAGAGGACCCTCAGTGGACTAGTCACACCGGGCCCCTCTTCTCTAGCCCCTCAGCTCCTCGGGACCTGGGCGCATGGGCATGTTTTCAAACTGACCCGAGGGTCTGAGCTCCCGCTGGCCCCACGACTCCGGGCCCACAGGGCGCTGGCCTGCTCGTTACCGTTTTGAAAGGTTTTCTTTTTATCACACGTGAGGGTGACAGCGACAGAGTGAGAGAGCACCCCACAGGTCACCCCAGCCTTCAGCCAACCCTGCGTCACAGCCCGAGCCAGGGCGTGCCGGAGAGACCCGGCACCTTGCCACGGGGGTCGCCTCACACGGCATCACGTGCCATTGCTGCAGCCCTGTCCAGCCCGGTGGTTGAGGGGGCTCATGAGAGGAATCCCAGACAACAGCAGGAGATCGGAGTTTCGGAAAAGGGGCACCCTCAGCTCCCTGGCAACTGACCGCAGCCCCGCAGCGCAGACTCCAATCCAGGGCTCCCCGGCCCAGTCCGTTCTCTTCCTCCCAGCTCCCCGCACAGTCCTCAGAGGCAGACGGAGGGGTGCAGAGGGTGAGCATGGCCCGGTCTGTGACTTAGTCACTCTGTGCCTCAGTTTCCCCGTATGTAAAGTGGGGCTGAAGTCGGGTGCCTGCACCAGCTCCCTTTCCGAGCAGGAAGCAGCCGTCCACACGTGGCCGCTGTAGCAGAGGTGCGGACCTGCGAGGACGCTGGCCAGTGAGCCCCTTTTCTCTTCCCAGCCCCTCATCGCCTCTCCCAGAGGCACCCCTTCTCAACGAACAGGCCCCTGGGAAACACCCCCCAGCCCATCGCCAAGGCCTGTCCACTCGGCTCCCAGGACCACCTTCGGGTCTCCCTCTCCCCTGTGGCCCCGAAGCCCTGCCACCTGTCGGTTGGCTCCGAGCGTGTGTGCCAGTCGTGGTGCCCACAAGTGTCCCCCTCAATCCATCTGGTGCCCCTGCCCCTGGTGCGCCAGGAAGGACAGTACACCCTGGAGGAGCAGGCAACTCCCCACTGGGAAGGACGCCCTGGCTAGAAGCCCTCCCGCAGTGCCCCTGCTCCTAGGGCCCCCACTCCCTGCCCTGCCGGGCCTTGGTCTGGCCC